AGGGGCTCTGAGCTCTCTCTGGATCCTTCTCCAGGCGAGCACCCCCAGCTCTCCCAGCCTGGCTCCATGGCAGAGGGGCTCCAGCCCTGGAGCAGCTCCGGGGCCTCCTCTGGGCTCTCTCCAGCAGCTCCAGCTCCTTGTGCTGTTGGGATCCCCAGGGCTGGGGTCTCACCTGAGCACAGGGGCAGGGTCCCCCAGGACTGGGGATTTCAGGGATTTCTGGGATTTCAGGGATCTCTGGGATTTCAGGGATTTTTTCAGGGATTTCTGGGATTTCAGGGATTTCAGGGATTTTTTCAGGGATTTCCGGGATTTCTGGGATTTTTTCTGGGATTCCTGGGATTTCTGGGATTTCAGGGATTTCTGGGATTTTTTCAGGGATTTCAGGGATTTCTGGGATTTCTGGGATTTCAGGGATTTTTTCAGGGATTTCAGGGATTTCTGGGATTTCAGGGATTTCTGGGATTTCAGGGATTCCTGGGATTTTTTCAGGGATTTCAGGGATTCCTGGGATTTCAGGGATTCCTGGGGTTTCTGGGATTTTTTCAGGGATTTTAGGGATTTCAGGGATTCCTGGAATTTCTGGGATTTCCGGGATTTCAGGGGTTCCTGGGATTTTTTCAGGGATTCCTGGGATTTCAGGGATTCCTGGGATTTCTGGGATTCTTGGGATTTCAGGGATTTCAGGGATTTCCGGGATTTCAGGGATTTTTTCAGGGATTTCTGGGATTTCAGGGATTTCTGGAATTTTTTGGGATTTTAGGGATTTCAGGGATTTCTGGGATTTCAGGGATTTCAGGGATTTCTGGGATTTCAGGGATTTCAGGGATTTCAGGGATTTCTGGGATTTCAGGGATTTCTGGGATTTCAGGGATCTCAGGGATTCCTGGGATTTTTTCAGGGATTTCTGGGATTTCAGGGATTTCTGGGATTTTTTCAGGGATTTCTGGGATTTCAGGGATTTCTGGGATTTCAGGGATTCCTGGGATTTTTTCAGGGATTTCAGGGATTTCAGGGATTTCCGGGATTTCAGGGATTTCTGGGATTTTTTCAGGGATTTCTGGGATTTCTGGGATTTTTTCAGGGATTTCAGGGATTTCTGGGATTTCAGGGATTTCAGGGATTCCTGGGATTTCTGGGATTTCTGGGATTTTTGGGATTTCAGGGATTTTTTGGGATTTCTGGGATTCCTGGGATTTCAGGGATTTCTGGGATTTTTTTAGGGATTTCTGGGATTTCAGGGATTCCTGGGGTTTCTGGGATTTTTTCAGGGATTTTAGGGATTCCTGGGATTTCAGGGATTTCTGGGATTTTAGGGATTCCTGGGATTTCAGGGATTTCTGGGATTTTTTCAGGGATTTCAGGGATTTCCGGGATTCCTGGGATTTTTTCAGGGATTTCAGGGATTTTTTCAGGGATTTCTGGGATTCCTGGGGTTTCAGGGATTCCTGGGATTTCAGGGATTTCTGGGATTTCAGGGATTTCAGGGATTTTTTCAGGGATTTCAGGGATTTCCGGGATTCCTGGGATTTCAGGGATCTCTGGGATTTCAGGGATTTCTGGGATTTTTTGGGATTTCAGGGATTCCTGGGATTTCAGGGATTTCAGGGATTTTTTGGGATTTCAGGGATTTTTTGGGATTTCCGGGATTCCTGGGATTCCTGGGATTTTTTTGGGATTTCCGGGATTCCTGGGATTCCTGGGATTCCTGGGATTTCAGGGATTTTTTCAGGGATTTCAGGGATTCCTGGGATTCCTGGGATTCCTGGGATTTCAGGGATTCCTGGGATTCCTGGGATTCCAGGGATTTCAGGGATTTTTTCAGGGATTTCAGGGATTTCAGGGATTTTTTCAGGGATTTCAGGGATTCCTGGGATTCCTGGGATTCCTGGGATTTCTGGGATTCCTGGGATTCCTGGGATTTCAGGGATTTTTTCAGGGATTTCAGGGATTTCAGGGATTTTTTCAGGGATTTCAGGGATTCCTGGGATTCCTGGGATTCCTGGGATTTCAGGGATTCCTGGGATTTTTTCAGGGATTTCAGGGATTCCTGGGATTTCAGGGATTTTTTCAGGGATTTCTGGGATTCCTGGGATTTCAGGGATTCCTGGGATTTCAGGGATTCCTGGGATTCCTGGGATTTTTTCAGGGATTTCAGGGATTCCGGGATTTCAGGGATTCCTGGGATTTCAGGGATTTTTTCAGGGATTTCTGGGATTCCTGGGATTTCAGGGATCTCTGGGATTTCAGGGATTCCTGGGATTCCAGGGATTTCAGGGATTCCTGGGATCAGAGCCCAGCTCCCAGCTTTGCTGGCTGTGCTGATAACCCCGGGCTCCCGGGCTGGTGCAGGTGATTTGGAGATTAGAGAAGGTCAGCCCCTGGCCAGGATAATTAAGTGCCGTTAATGACCGATGGCTGAGCTGATGAGGGAGCTGCAGCCCGGCAGGAGCTGTGGGAAGGATGTGGCCCGGGACAGCCCGGGCTGTAGCGCTCTGTACCTGTTCTTGTTCTCCAGCTCCGCGATCAGCTGCCGCTGCTGCCGGTTGGCATCGACACCGAACGGCAGGTCCGGCGGCGGGCGGGGCTGGGGACACAGGACACGGGGACATCAGGGACACAGAGGGACACGGGGACACAGGGGACACTGGGGACACTGGGACACGGGGACAGCAGGGACACAGGGACACGGGGACAGCAGGGACACGGGGACAGCAGGGACACAGAGGGACACAGAGGGACACGGGGACAGCAGGGACACAGAGGGACACAGAGGGACACAGGGACAGCAGGGACACAGGGACAGCAGGGACACAGGGACAGCAGGGACACTGGGGACACTGGGACACACAGGGACACAGGACACGG